ATTATGATCATGCACACTGAATACCAGAATGAAGTGCGGTTATTACCATATGAGTGGCCAAGAACAGGTCATAAAGTGGAAAAGAAAGTTAAAAATCATATCCAGGTGATGAGGAGTAAGAAATCAAAAAAATTACCTCGCGTCCTCTCAAGCTCTTCAACTAGCTCTTCTGTCCACTTCCTTTCCCTCTCGGAGCAGCTTGTGCTACAAGCAAAACCGTTTTAAACGTTAGAGTTACTGAATAGGATAAACTGGACAAGCGATTCTGTAGGGTTGCAAAGCTAATGTAAAGCACCAAAAGCATGAGAATGAACCTTTGGCTACATGACCCGTCCTGAGCATCAAGATCTTTCCAATCACTAAGCTGAGGTGGCTGGATTTCTTGCAAGGCTCGAGCATGTACACCGCTAGCATTTAATGCTTCTTTTGTACGACTCTTGGTCCCGGGGCTGAAAGTCTTGGCAGCATCAATCATGGAAGAGAATCTTCTGCTAGGTAACCGACTAGGTGACTTGCTTTTTGGAGGTAAATTTAGATTACTTGCAACATTTTCACCATCAGGAGTTCCCACAGCACTTGGATGATCAGCTGCATTCATTGTGCTATTATAGAACTGCTCAAGGGGTGTCTGCAGCTTCTTCAGATCTAATGCCTGACATGATATTGTAGAGTTATACAATTACGTTCTCTAATCCATAATATAGGACTTTCAAGACACAACATTATCGAGATAAAAAAAAGCATAAGATTGATCTCATTCTTGGAAAGAGCACCTTTTCATCCAGAAAGGCTCTAATTTTTGACTCTGTCACTTCATCATCATCCTCAGCTGCAGATGGGCCAGAAAAAAATTCAAAGTCGTTCTCCTTGCCAGATACTCCAGGGCTGCAATCAGCCATTTGAACAGTTTGACCAGGAGCTGTGTTCATTCCAACTCCATCCAACTCCAAACTTTTATCAAATTTATATGGCCAATCATCAGTTGGTTCACACATAGGATTAAAACTCTAGTCAACAGAACAAACCAACCCATGTATAAGTTAGTGGTACACATCTAAACATATATATATA